ACTCACACTCTGATGGATGTGTCAGGGGTAACTCGGGGTTCACTCCCTTACCCAGAGATCCTTCAAAACACAGACTAGAGGAGCTGGGGATCAAACCCCCGTCCTACTGACTGGTAGACGACCTGTTCTGCCTTCTGAGATATAAAGGTGTATGTATAAAGATAAAATAACCAGTGCTAATCAACTGTAAACTGAAGTTTAATGCTCATTGTTTTACTTTTAACAATAAAACTCTAATCAATCATATTAGCTAAACATGTGTTATATTACCAATTAAGTTTGTCATTTTAAAATGTTAAAGAATTATGAATTATATATATATATATTTTACTGTACAGCATCGCCATGCTGGTGAGCCCAAAGATGTTGGGTAGGTTTGAAATACTGGGGAGATATGGTTACTTTATGATGCCTGCTTTGTGTACAGGGGAGTTGTCCTGTTGAAACAAGGATGGGCAAAAGCACCATAGTCTAAAACATCACTGAACTGCACAATGCAGCTTTGTTATCTAAAGAATCAAGATCAAAACAACCTCCAACCTAAAGCAGAAGTCACATAAGGGGATCTTTATTTAAAGCACTAACAAATTTATACTGTACTGGAATAAAAAAAATGCTTTCATTTTAGCTCACATGTTCCACTTTTGAATGAGAATACCTCTGAAATGAAGCATGTATTGAATATCTTACTGTTTACTGGGAGGAACAGTGGCACATTTGAGCTTTTACTTCCCATTAACCTTCATTTCAATGCTGTGCACGAGGAGTTGAATACTTTATGCTTTGATCGCCTCTGAGGAGGATTTTTCAATTTCCCCAGGTACCACATAAAAGCTTGGCTCACCTTAGTTTTATCAGGATCAATGTGCATGAAAGACACAGTGGTACTTGGGCGTCAAGGTGCAAAATAACCAAATGTACCTACAGTTAAAAGATTAAGTTTAGTGCATTTTTTTCCTCCTGTCAATGCATCTTCTACCACTCCTGACCAAAGAGAAGTTAAAGCCCCAAATGCTGAATTAGCAGAGAGCAGAAGAAGATGGGAAAACTAGGCTGGACTTCACCAGACAATCTTTTCATGAGATTTGTTGATTCTGAGTAAAAAAATACAAAACTATACCTGCATTATTATTTAACTAAGTGTTTCCAAAGGGCTGAGGCACTGATGTTACTGAAGGAGAAACAGAGCCTGCACAGTGTGTATTGTACATACCTTTTCTTGTACTTGAAGGAAAGAGCCTTCCAGAAGTCGATTTCCTCATCTTTTGAGGAGAATTTCGGTATCATATCCATTTCCATGGCAAAAAAATCTACACAGGAGGGAATCGGGAAACAAGCGGGATTTCAGTGGGATAAAGACAATCCTACAAAAGACGAAAGGTTAACAGATGAAGTATAAACATTTGAGAAAAACCCCTTTTTCTTCTCATAGTCGTTCTTCTAAGCCTTAAAGCTCTCTCAATCCCCAGCAAGGCAGCAAACATCTAAAGACACAACATCAAGTGAGAACTAGACTCACAAATCAATGAGTCAAACTACAGCTGGGAGTTAATCATCAAAAGGACTCCCGACAGACTGCAAGAAACCCAACAGAGGCAACTGCAGAGCACACAGCATTCAAATGTGCTTTCCGGGCTTTAAAAAAAAAAATAAGAGCAACCACTCCTGAAAAACAGCATTTTTAATTTGATGTAGAGCCTTTTGTATGATTAAATAGATCATAGATTGGCCCAAATAAGACTCCACAGGCTTGTTTAGGCTGTGTATAATGCCTCCTATGTGTAACAGTGTAGCACCCGATGAGCCTAGATGTTAATGCAAAGCACAGTTCACAGAGGTAACAATGGGACTGGGAGCCTCATTGATAACTTTTAGGGGGAATTTAAATCCCCAAACACCAAACCAGTTGTGAGCAGGAGCGGGTGGGAACACTAGGCTGCAGATCCAGCAAGAACCGGACAAATGATTTTGGAGAATAGTTTTGCTCTCGTGAGATCTGCTGAGGTCTAAGTTAATCAATAGGCAAAATCAGTGAAGGTACCAGTCCAATCCCAACTCTGTCTCACCTTCTCTTAGAACATGAAGAGTACCCGATGCAGACAAGACAACACAGTGATTGTATGAAGCCTGACATTTTTCACAGGGGTAGCACAGCTTCTCTTTGGTACTATAGATGTAATAGTTCCCACAGTGGGTCTACATTTGTAGTTTATTTGCCACATAAGGGAACAGGAACTGCTAAATGAGCATCAAAGCTCAAATTAATCTTTAATCACTCCTCTGTGCTCCACCACTGGGACTAGCTCCTGAGATTCAAAACCACTGCTTTAAGCTACCCTTCTTTTTATTGGCTGCCGCTCATAAACAGAAAGGTTGACCGGTGAGTGGGTGGGTGGGGCTTCTGTGTCCAAGATGACCATATTAGCGACATCTGCTCTCTTTGACATCAAAAACCCAAGAGCAGGAAATAACTGTCTGAAATGAAGTGTTTAGAGCAGTGTGAAGTCTGGGCCATATCATATCTGGGCCAGCAGGTGGTTAGCTTAACTGAGGGAAACATCTGGACTAATTCCACTAAATCTAACAAATTAACAGTAAATTTCACATTTTGAGTAAAATAACAGAATCTAATCTTGAACCAGGGGATGAAAAAAATAATAACTTGAAGGCCATTCAAGCAGAAATCCTATTAACTTTTTATAGCACAGGATGCAAAAATGAATTCTGTCATCCTTTGAATAATTCAACTTTATATTATAGCCAACACTCACGGCTCGAAGGAGAAATTACAGCCGGGGAACAGCAGCACACACTGGAGCCGCTGTTTCCTAAATTAATGGGATTATTATTTTTCCATTTAGTTTTTATGAAGTCTGTCGATTTAAATTGGCTTAGGTGCAAACTAAGGGTGGTTTGAACAGGCCACATCACTGCAGGGTGAAATATTAACCTTTAAATAACCTGATCTCAATTCCTCACTCAGAAAAATCACCCTGTTGAACACGGACCATATGTCGAGCCAACCACAGCCCCGCCGAAGGTGATAAACATTTTCACTACAAGAAAAGCAATTTTTAAAAAAATCCACCTCAAATTAAATAATCGGGTTAGCGTTGGAAACATAACACAGGATTGGAGATGACACCAAGCTTGGCGGCTGAAAACGTGCAGATGATGTTGAGGATGATGATGATGATGATGCGCTCAGCTGTCAAAACTGGGTGTGCAAAGGAGCCGAACGAACCGACGACACGCTGCTCTCGGTGTTTCGCCTCCATTTGTTTTCCACTACAAAAATAAAATAAAAATAAGATAAAAGATAATGAACTCGGTACCTGAACATCGCTTCGAAGAGAGCTGTTTATCGGTCCATCCTACACGGCTGTCCGAGCTGCCGAGGCCGACCGTCCCCTCCAACGTCTGCTGATCTCTGCTGCTCACAGGAGCGTTTAAAGGGAAACACACCCTCCACACAGATCCGTCTCACCTCCGCACCTCAGCTATAATTTGGATCCTTATGCCAGAATATTCACAAGGCTGAGAATATGTGGAGAATATTTTACTGATAATAACAATAATAATAATAAGTAATATTATTTTGTCTGTGAGGAGAAAGATCCTCATAGTCAGTGAATAATGAGTAGATCAGCTCAGATGATAAAATTAAATATTTAATTTCTAACACAGTAAAGAGCTGTGTTTTTTTTGTTGCCTGGTGCTTATATAAAGAAAAGAAAATACAATAAAAAGTAAAAAGTAAAATTATGGTTTAGAGTGGATTTCATCAACTCGTGCCTTTCCTGCTCGCGAGCTTCACTGCTGCTCACAAACTGCGCATAACACTCAGTTAATGTTAAATTATCATCACCTGGCGGCAGTGGGCTAGAACAGCAGTCTGTGTAGCCTTTGACTTGTGCCTAAAGCTATCTCAAAATTAATGCGTGCATATAATTAAGTATGCTTTTCTTTAGGGATATAAGTTATGTTGTAGGAATAACTTGGCATGACCCTCTTACGGGACACGCCCATACGGGACTTTCCACCAGTTGCTCTTAGAACTGAAGAAGCTTCTGGGATGAGAGATGAAACGTCTTCAAGAAACTTAAAGAAGTGCAGACGCTTTTCTTTCCAAGCTCCTTAGTCTAATAGTTTACAGATTAAAATGAGAGAGAAGAAAATAACTTACAGATTCAAAGTTACAACACAGTTCCTCAAAATTATTGCATGAATCAACGTTTTGATTCTGCAAGTTTTTTTTTTGACAAATAAATTAGTTATTCATTGTACTAAAACATTTTGAGATAAAGAAAATTACACTTTGTCACTTATGTTTTGTCACTCTAAATATCAAATAAGAGCTGTTGAATGTAAAATCGTAAAATAACAGCTTTTTAAATGTACACACATCTAAACGCTGGAAACTATGGTGGAGGGTAGCTCACAGACTCAGCTCTGCTGTCAAAAGGAAGCTTACGGGAAATAACAGTTTAATGTCTGCAGAGTCCACACATTAGTTTGTTACACTGAGACATTTGAATGTTGTCTGGCATTTGCCTTATTTTAGTAAAACATTTTTATTTAGTTTTATTTAGCTTTAATTCACATGTTGAGCTATTTTTGTACGATTTTTTAAAATATTTTGCTCACATTTTCACTTGTTTTATTAATTTTCTTTATTATTTTATTCTTTTTATTCTACCCTATGTATATTTTCATTTATGTTTATGCTTATTTAAAACATTGCATGTTAATTCATGTGAGCACTTAAGAAACATAAGCAACATTTTAACTTTTTATTTTATTTTGTCGACATTTTTGTTTACATCCGTTTCCTTCAGTTTTTTGTTGTTGTTTTTTTTCTTTTTCAAGTTCAGGGTCATATTTCGGCTGCTCTAACGGGAAGCTTGGGACAAATAAAGTGTGTTAATAAGCGAACAGACTCTAGTAATTAATGACTACGTACACGTATCTGTGCCTACGTATGTACTGACGTCAAACGTATGCTGTAGGAGCGTGTTGCGATGGTAACGGACAACACACCGGACAAGAGCCGCTAAACAGGGTCGAGATGACCATGTCGCAGCTGGATGTCGACGGTTTTCCAATTTCGTGGAAAGATCCAGAGGATGCAGACACAGTATCAATGTTTGATGTGATTTACGGCAAAGTGAGAGAGGTTTGTGTTTTTAACGGACACGTGGGTGGTGTGTGAGTGAAAATGAAGCTGAAAGACCCCAAAACATAAGCAGCAGTATATAAACACGCGTTGTGCTATGAAATGTCATTTACATGACATCACACAGATGAGTGAAGAGTGAGCTGGACAAGATTTAGGATCGAAAACGAAAACAAAGATTTAAATAAAGACATTTTACTATTTCAGGAAAAATAGGATCTAATGGCAGCAACAGGTCTCAAAAAAGGGAAGGGGGAAAACAAAAGACTGGACAAGTAAATGGGACTAAAAAGAAACAGCTGGAGGAACATTTTACAAGTAATTAGGTTCATCAGTAACGTTATTGGGTATAGAAAGAGCAACTACTACATCTACAAATTGTGGAACAGTTATAGAATATTCTTCCTCAGTGATGGAGTCAAAATGAAAGAGTAAGTTACGAGGAAAGAGTATGAATATCTCATCATCTACGGCAAATAATATCATCAAAGAAATCTCTGTGCATGAGGGACAAGGCTGAAAATCAACTTTAGCACCAAGGGA